CTATGGTTTTTCCAGTGGTCATGTATGGATGTGAGGGTTGGACTATAAAGAAAGATGAGTGCCGAAGAGTTGATGCTTTTGAACTGTGGTGTTGGAGAAGACTCTTGAGAGTCCCTTGGACTGCAAGGAGATCCAACCAGTCCATCCTAAAGAAGATCAGTCCTGGGTGTTCACTGGAAGGACTGATGTTGAAGCTGAAACTCCAATACTTTGGCTACTTGATGCAAAGAGCTGACTCATTTCAAAAGACCCTGATGCTGGGAAAGATTGAGGGCAGGAGGAGAAGGGGACGACAGAGGATGAGATGGTTGGAATGGCATCACCGACTCAATGGACATGGGTTTGGATGGACTCCGGGAGTTGGTGATGGACAGGGAGGCCTGGCCTGCTGTGGTTCATGGGGTCACAGAGAGTCAGACACGACTGAGCGGCTGAACTGAACCAACTGATACTGAGACAGGTTGGGACCCAGGGCCTGAGACTCTTGCTGTAGTGTTTGCACATGGAGAAGCGTCTCCTAGAACAACAGAAAATCAAAGAAACTATAACTGCACCTATTCCCAGTTGGGGCAAATTATGAACAACAAGATTCAAAAAGGCCAAAATCCAGCTTCCACTTTTGAGGTGCAGAGAGCAAAAACTGGGCACTGTAAATGATCCCTGCACACAGCACCACCAAAGGACTGGGCAGACCACCTAAGCCTCCCCCCTGGCCTGAACTACCATCAGCTCCACCCTCACCCCTTTCCAGGGAGCACCTCAGAGAGTGAGGAAGAGAATCTGTTACCTGTTTTTGCTTCCTTGCACTGCAGCAGGAGTCCCAGTAAAGCCTTGTCTGAATTCCTTGTCTGGTCTCTTAACAATTTCTTTTGATTAAAGAGTCCAGGGACCCTGATCAGTAACAATACTTTGAAAATACCAAAACTGATAATAAAAATAAAGAAAAAAACAAACCATAAACATACATAAAATTAAATACAATATGAGAACTGTTTTGTAAATATGGAGGGTTTTTTTCCTACATAGACTTGTCTGCCCAAGGCGCCTTAGACTGTGTCAATGAAATTCAGACTGAAAACATCTTTTTTTCTGGAAAATCTCCCTATGGAAAATGTTACTCACTGCTCCAAGAACTTGAAAAATTATAGTTCTGGGATCATGCGCATTTCTGTTCTTTTTGCTTACTTATTTTTATCTTGTGTTAAACATGTTATGTAATTTTTTAATAAAGGAAAAACTTAAAGATGATTGTTCTTGTGCTTAGCCTGTCAGGGTTTCTCCAGGCAAGAATACTGGAGTGGGTTCTCATTTCTTCCTTCAGAGGACCTTCCTGACCTTCCTGATCCTTCTTCAAGGATCAAACCTGAGTCTCCAGTGTCTGCTGCCTTGCAGATAGATTTTTTTTACCTGCTAAGCCATCACGGAAGCCCAGGTGATTGGGAGATAAAAATAAAAAACTACGGTCAAGACTGAATTAATAAAGGTTGTATAGAACATATACCAATCATGCACATTTAAGTAACAAATAACAACTAGAAAACTATCAATTTCCAAGTAAATACTGAACTTAAGACTATACAGGCAAAGTAAAATCACTGATTACAGGGTTGAAAAAAAGAGGATGAATTTCATCAACAGCACAGGTACAAATGATTTACCTTTGAGCAATGCAAAAGTAAGCAAAGAAGTTTTTAAATTAGCATCCTAAATTCAAAATAATTATATCTTTACTTTTATCTGAGGGCTTTTTAAAAACCACAAAGATCACATATATCAAATCTCATCACACTTTAAATACGTGCAGTTCATTGTATGTTGGTTATACCTCAGTGAACCTAGAAAAACTAGAAAAAAATTAACTAAACAAATACACAGGCTTAGGTCCTATGGAAAATGTTTTCATAAAACGTCAAATTCCATACTGAATAGTATGGAATCTCTTTGGAAAGATGTTTCCAAACAATCAGAAACATAAAAGTTCAAAATATTATATGATCAAATACTTGATTGTCTAGCAAGAACCAAATCTATACAAAGTCAAACAGAAGTATTAAACAAATTTCTTCATGAGATGATATTTAATATAGATTTTAAAGAACGTGTGGGAAAGTTTTTCTCATTGAATAGTGTGGAAAATCTGCATCAAATTTATCCGAAGTGCATATTAAAAATAAAATTCCTATGCACCATCCAAGAGTTGTGGAATCTCAATCTCTGGTGGTGAAATCAAGGAATCTACATTCTGATAGCTCCCCTAGAAAACCCTTCCAAAGATGAGTTGAGGTTTTCAAAAGTCTCATTTACTGACTGCTATGCAAAGTTAAGACTGAATGACTTTCAGTAGTCATGCAAGGAAATTTTAAGGGTTGAACATGGTTACACTCCCAAAGTAAATTTGCCGAGTTTGGGCACTATGTGTAGGATGTGGAGTTGCTCTGCAGAAACTTCTAAAACACAGTGAGATATTCTATAATTTCCTGGTGCTTCGAAAACAAAGTCCTACTAAAGAGTTGGGGCTTGTGCCAAACACACATTCAGCCTCCCCGTCAAGACATTTGCTAGATTTCAGTGCTCAAGAACGTAGGAAGCTGAAGTGCAAGCTCAATACCTCTGAAAAGAAGACCTTAATGTTCTCATTTTGGGGGGCCCAGAAGATAAAGATCTATTAGATTTTCAATCAAGCCTGCTCAAGGTATAGAAACAAAATAGACAAGTCTGCAGTTCAGTCCTACTAAAACTAAAACTCATCTTGACCCACTGAATCCCTGATTATATTAAAGTTACTGGCAATTTACCTTACCTACTTAAAGCAAATAGTGAACACTTTCTGGTGGAAGATATGTTTTCTGAATCTCTTATGCTTTTCAAATACACAGTGTTGTACCTAAAACAAAAAGTTGTTAAATGTGTGAGAAGGCAAAGGAACATGATTTATAATCACGAAATAAAGCAGGCAGAAGAAGTAGATCCAAAAACAATTCTTCTATTGAAGCATTCCAAGGTTTAAAAATAACTTCAATTAATCTGTAAGAAAAATGTATACTAAATGAATGAAAAATGGAGACTTAAATAGAATAGATTAAACAAGATTAAGATGGACATTTGAGAAACAAAAGATATCTAAAATTGAGAATTAAGCAGGAAAGATTAGTGAATTCAAAGGCAGATCAATAAAGAGTAAAAAAGATGAAGCACAAGAAGACATGAAGAACTGAAAAAGCTGTAACAGAGAAATACAGGAAATGGTTAAAAGTTCTAATATACATGTAATTGGAGTCCAAAAGAAAAGGACAAAGTAGAATATTTGAAGAGATAATGGCTGAGTTTGTAAAAAATGATTAAACGAGATCACTGAAAGAATTCAAGAAGCTCATCCCAAACAGGATGAAAACACAAGACACACACAAAAACACACATACACAAGATACACACACACAAACAGAGAGAAAAGGAATAGCCAAACTGCTGAAATTAAAGGCAAAAAAAAAAAAGACATGTGGCTTTGAAACGAGCAACGTTAAAAATAATGGCTGACTTTTGAACAAAAATTTGGAATCTAGAAGGCAATAGAATACATATTTTAAGTGCTGAGAGAAATAATTGTCAACTTAGAATTCTGTACAGCCTGATGTAAGATATCACTCAAACACGAAAATAAGGACACTTTCAGACAACAAACTGAGAAACTTACTTATCAGAAGACTTGAATTATAAGAAATACTAAAGATGTTCAATTTCAATGAAAATCCCATATTATAAATTCAGAACTGCTAGAAGGAATAAGAAAGATGCAAAGGGTAAACATACTAGTAAATATGAAATAATATCCACTGCCTAAAATAACAGTAACAAAATAATGTATTTTGGACATTTTGTAGAAGTAAAATACTGACACCACCCCTCCCCCAACAAACAAAAGGTAAAAAGTGAATAGATTTTTACCTGTTGTAAGGTTCTTGTTTGAAACATGGTTGGAGTGATGACTTAAGGTGGTATGAAATAAATCAAGTAGTCATATTTTATCTCTAGAGTAATCATTAAAAGCTACGCTAAAACATAATTAAAAAGCTAAAAAGGAGAAAAATGAAATAATAAAAATATTATTTCTTCTTTCTTGGATTAAAGGAAAAAAAGAACAGAAATACAAAACAATAAACAAGATGGTAGGCTTAAACTCAACCATGTTCATAAGAGGACTAATATAAATATTTAGAAGACAACGGTACTGAAAATAAAATCAACAATGAAGACCAATATTGTGTGTGTGCGCGCGCGTTTCCCTCCCTGTTTCTCCTACTGCTGTTGGCTGAAAATGGAATAATCAAGATTATTGAGGACTAAGGGGGAAGGAAAGGGAGTTACAAGAGAGGTGGCAATGAACGACATCCTGCCATTTCTCAACTCCCTTCTGATACACAACTATTAGACAAAACAAAACGACAACAAAACTACACATACGAAACGCAATTTTCAATACAAAATCAGAAATATGTGTTTCTATTAGACAGCCCGTTGTACTGTACTGTATTTGGAAAAAAATTTTTTAGCCTTCAGATGTAACGTTCAAAGAAAAAAAAAAAAAAGCCAGAGGGTGAAACAGTTTCCCAAGTAATTATATAGACATCTCTCTTGAAAATAATTAGTTCAGAATAACTTTTTCTTCAGAAATGGTTGAGTCACTAAACTTAGATGGCTATAAATCTAAGATTAGAGGTTTGAAACTAAGAAATTAACCCACGCGGAGTAATTATTATTAACGGTTAAATCCAACAAGTGTGTACTGGCGTTTTTTCCCCGCAGACCCTTAGTTTCCTCCTCCGCCGGCTCCGCCCGCGGACTCCTTGATCGCAGTAGAGCCGTGGCCCCGCCCCGCTCCGCTGTGGCCCCGCCCCGCTGTGGCCCCGCCCCGCCGCGGCCCCGCCCGCCCCCGCAGCATCGCTCAACGGAGGCCGCCGCGTCGCCTTGGAAACGGCCCCCAACTCCGTGCAGTGAGGAGCAAGATGGCGTCTGGGGAGCCGGGTGATTTGGGCGTCTACAGCTTCAGATTCCTGCCTCAGAAAACCTTCCAGTCTCTGAGCACCCCGCAGACCACCAGCCGGCTCCGCCAGTGGTGAGAGGCCGAGGGGCTCTTCTCCGTGCCCCTCGGGCTTCTCGGCTCTGGAGGCGCGGATCGGGCGTCGAGGCGGCCCCGTCCTGAGTGAAACCCGGGGGCAGCGTTACCCTCAAGAAGGGCGGGCTCCGTGAGTGGGACGGGTGAACGTGCTGCCCAGAGGGTACCACCCCGAGCTGACCGTCGTTCTCTTCTGTGCCCCAGGTCTATGCTGGGTAGAATCGAGGCGCAGGCGTTCGGGTTTGACCAGACGTTTCAGACTTATCGCAAGGATGATTTCATAATGGTTGGTATGGAAGTTGGAGCGTTCCTTGAACCACTGCTGATGTTACATTTTTTTCCTACTTTGGCATAGATTCTGGTGAACACGGCATTACTCTGTGACGACGTTTTCTTTAAGTTTGAGAAAATAAAAAGGTTCAATCGATTGTTTCACAGGAACTTTTATCTTTTCCATCACCATAAATTAGCTCATCTTCAGTATGCCGCCATAGAGAGCTTTTCAATTTTGGAAAGTTAGTCTCTTCCTAGAAAATCGGTCTTTTTTTTAGTAGGCACACCTCATTTTTAAATATTATCCAGCTTTATCACCAGCTAGTTTCTCAAAATTGAATCTACCCTGTGAGAAGAGGCTCTATTAGCAGTTCCACATGAATTCCAGAGAAAGCTGTAAGCAGTGACTAAGTTACTGAAATAAATCTATAGCTGGTAGAGGTGGCTGCTTTGAAAGGGGGAAAACTCATTTGAAAATAGATTTTGGTGTGTTCACTGTATTTCATTCACGTTATTTAAAATCTTAGGGGTTTTTTAGTCCTCAGTTAAATGGAAAAATACTTTCATTGTTTGTGATAATACCTTTGCGGTTCTTGTCCTCAGGCATTGACTGTAGTGTGTAGTTGGCATAGTTTATTCACTCATTGACAAACACTTCCTCAGGGCCTACCATGTGCTAGAAATTCTGTCAAGTAGTGGGGATTCCAGAAGGAACAAAACAGGAGCCTGGCTTTCAAGGATCTTACCAACTCCTGGCAAGACTGCCAATAAATTTAAAAAATCAGATCATCTCATACAGAGTGGTAGTGCAGTGAACAAAATATTAATCTAATTAACAAACCAAAATATTTACTGTGAGGGTATATTGATGCTGTAGGGAAGTACCACAAACTGGGTGGCTTAAAACAAGAGAAGTGTATTATCTTACAGTTTTGGAGGGTGGAGGTCCAAAATCAAGTGGTTAACAGAGTTGTGCTCTCCCTGAAATCTGTAGAAACGAATCCTTCCTCACCTTTTTCCTAGCTTCTCATGGTTGCCAGCAGTCCTTGGCATTCTTTAGCTTGCAGCTGCAAAACATGAATCTCTACTCCTGTCAGAGTCCCTTAGCTCTCCTTCCTGTGGTGTACATAGCTGTGTCGCTTCTCCTTTTATAAGAACACCAGCCGTATTGAATTAAGGGCCCACCTTATTCCAGTATAATCTCACTTTAACTAATTGTATCCACAACAACCCTGTTTCCAACTAAGGTCACTTTCCAAGGTCCCAAGGACATGAATTTTGGGCAGGGGGCTGAGGGAATGCTGTTCAACTCTGAAATGAGGGTAGATTACTTAAAGTCTATTTCCCTTTACCTCAGATTGTGTTATAATGTTAATATAATATGCTACTGATTATAATATTAATGACATTTCTCATTCAGTTCGATTCTTATAGTTTTTAATATATTTCATTTATGCCAGGACTGGCTCTCAAATTAATTTTTTTTTAAAGATCATCAGGATTTTAATTAACTGAATTTTAGAGTGCTGTAAAAATTTTAATATAAGTCATTTATTCAACAAATGTTTGTCGAATACTTACTGTATCCCTGCTGGGAGGTGTTAAAAAGACAGAGTCTTGATCCCAGCTTGTAGGTCATGTGTATAGGTTTAAAAGCTAGAAGTGTAGAAAATTCTCTACAAGACAAAATAATTGCTATATTGGAGGCTATATAAGGTGCCCTAGGCACACAGAAAAAGATCATTCAATGAAGGGGCATTGGTATCAGAATAATTTCATAGACAAGGGTGTAGACTTAATTTGGTTTGTTCAGTAGATACAGATCTTCAACAGAATCAATATTAATCCATAAAGCACAATAAATTTCTGTAATAGGCAATTTTTTCAAACTAATTTTCAATATCTTCATGTTTATCCTAATTTTTTTCTTGTGAGTAGGCAGTATTCTCATATTTTAATATAAAGAGGTGTATTCATACAATCATTTTTTACTCATGCAACTAATTTGGAGAAGATAAAGAACTGTGGCCGAGAGCATGGCCTCCAGAAGGGGATTTACCTTGAAGCTACTGAATCTTTAGGACCCCTCACCAGCTCAAGCTCCTCACTCACAGAATTGCCTTCCAAGGAAGTCTGAGCTACTCCAGCATCATACTCACTTGGTCATATGTTTTTGGAATTTTTCAAAATTAACTGTTTTGTATTCTTAGCGAAGGTCGCTCAGTCATGTCCGACTCTTTGCGACCCCATGGACATGGATTTCTTCAGGCCAGAACACTGGAGTGGGTAGCTTCCCCTTCTCCAGGGGATCTTCCCCACCCAGGGATTGAACCCAGGCCTCCCACATTGCAGGCAGCTTCTTTACCAGCTGAGCCACAAGGGAAACTCTTTTGTATTCTTAGAACCCCTAAAATTGTACATGCTTAAGACACTACAGACGGAGAAGGCAGTGGCACCCCAGTCCAGTACTCTTGCCTGGAAAATCCCATGAATGGAGGAGCCTGGTAGGCTGCCGTCCATGGGGTCGCTAAGAGTCGGACACGACTGAGCGACTTCACTTTCACTTTTCACTTTCATGCATTGGAGAAGGAAATGGCAACCCACTCCAGTATTCCTGCCTGGAGAATCCCAGGGACAGGGGAGCCTGGTGGGCTGCCATCTGTGGGGTCGCACAGAGTCGGACACGACTGAAGTGACTTAGCAAGACACTACAGAACCTGTATTCTCCCTTCATTTGTCCTCTAAATAGCTGTCTGTCCAACTCTGCTGCTTACTGGCTGTATGACATTGGGCAAGTTATTTAAGCTTCTTCAACCTTTGCTTTCCTACAAAATTGTCACAGTGCTTAACACTTAAGTACTTTCTGAGAATGAAAATAATGCTGAATATATAGATTATTAATGAAGATTGAGTGACATATAAAAATATTTAGCAAAATGCCTGGCTCATAATAAGTGCTGTCATTGTTACTAACATTTGTATACTACTTTTCAAAATGTTTTCCCAAAGCAGAAATGACTCCTGTGTGCCAGATTTAGCTTTCAGCAATTTTTATCCATTTATCACTAATCTTTACAACAATCTGGTAGATTTGGTGTTTTGACCCCTACTTTACAGCTGAGGAAACTGAAGCTCAAAATGGCTAAATAATTTGTGCAAGCTCGCCCAGCAAATAGCAAAACCTAGACCTTTTGGCTCCAACTTCCATTTTGACTACAAAACCCATAACTGAGCAAAGAGGGCTGCTTAAAGTAGGATTCCAGATTTTGAATTTTCCCTTAAAATTTAGAAACAAATTAGGTTTCAAAAGTTTGTAAGGTAGTAAATGGATGGAAAGAAGGAAACATTCATCCAGCAAATATTTCTTTAGTTCCCTAGTCTGTACAGATGAGCAGGACACAGTGAAAGAGGGAAACAGACCAAAAAAATGCATTGTAGAATGAGAAGCTGTATAATATAAAATGCACAAGGTGCTGCGGTGGCACAAAAGAGAAAGTGGTCATTTTTGACTGAGGTGGTTAAAGGAGAGTTAAAAACGTTAAAAAAAAGCTAACCTTAAAAAGTGTTAAAAAAGTGCCCTTCCAAAAGACAGGGCACTTGAACTCTGGCCTGAAAGATGAGTAGGAGTTTGTCAGGTAGACAGAGTGGAGTATTGTTAAACAGATGGGTGGGACAATACTTTTTAAGACTTCCTGTGCCATGCAAAGGAGTTTGGTCTTTATGTAGCTGAAGAGTTGCTGAAAGGTTTTCAGCAAAACAGTAAAATTTAAAGTACTGAGATCACCTGGCAGAAGTATAGGGGTGGATTGTTAGAACTGAGTCTGGAAACAGACTAAATTGGAAACTTATCTTCCAGACTGTATATGGTGGTGCCCTGAATTAAGACAGAGCACTGAGATTGCCTGCAGAGATGTTTATGAGACAGGTAGTACTCAAGGACTGATAAGATAACTGACAGGCAAAGGATGAAATGTAGGATGACCGAGTTTTTTATTTGGTTGACTAGAGTGGAAGATTTAAATGTATAGAAAATGGAGAAGAATAAATAACGAAAATGATTTCAGTTTCAGGCATGCTAAATTTGAGGTGCATCCAAGTGGCAGTATCCTAGATAGTTGAATATAAGATCTCACTTTGAGTCTCAAGAGAGCTCTGTGCTTAGAATATAATGCTGGCATTCTCACCAGAGATAATGACAGGAACCCTCCAAATTCACAGCAAGGGCGCTCCTCAGTTGACAGAGCTTCCTGAAGGTCTGCACATAGCTTCTGCTTATATCTCATGACCAGACTCTACATATATCTCAGGATCACTTGCCACAGAGATTGCTAGGAAGCGTAGACATTTAGCTGAGCACATTGCTGTTTCAAATAAAACTGAGATTCCTTAAGGAAGGAGAGATATGATATTGGATCAGAAATCAGCAGTCTGCCAGATATAGAATCAGATAGCTACTTATATTTCAAATGTGTGTCATCTAACAAACATACATTTAAACTGTTGTTATATAAAATGTTAATTTAGAAATATGTTTCTACTCTCACATTTATAGTCCAACTCTCACATCCATACATGACTACTGGAAAAACCAAAGCTTTGACTGCACGGACCTTTGTTGGCAAAGTAACGTCTTTGCTTTTTAATATGCTGTCTAGGTTGGTCATAACTTTTATTTCAAGAACCAGGCGTCTTTTAATTTCATGGCTGCAGTCACTATGTGCAGTGATTTTGGAGCACAAAAAAATAAAGTCTGTCAGTGTTTCCACTGTTTCCCCATATATTTGCCATGAAATGATGGGACTAGATGCCATGATCTTAGTTATCTCATGATGTACTCTGAATATAAGTTAAATAAGCAGGGTGACAATATACAGCCTTGATCTACTCCTTTTCCAATTTGGAATCAGTCTGTTGTTCCATGGCCAATTCTAACTGTTGCTTCCTGACCTGCATACAGATTTCTCAAGAGACAGGTCAGGTGGTCTGGTATTCCCATCTCTTGAAGAATTTTCC